ACCTCCCACAGTGAACTACAATGATATAGTAGTACAAGATATATCTAATGTAATATAATATGGAATTAATTAGATACTTTATTCTACCTTTGATAATTACTAATTTAGCTGGTATATATACACCTATTGAATGAAATTGGCTCTGGGCAGCTTAGATGGGTTTTTTCTTTCTTTTTTTGTGTGTGTATTTTTGTGTGTATTTTTGTGTTTTTTTTGTGTGTTTTTTACGTTTTCTATTTTCTTCTTCTTTTTTAAGCTTACATCAAGATATGGAGTAACTCCTTTCAATTTAATTAAAGAATTACTACTTTACTTACAGGAGTTTGTGTAGCCCTACTTACAAATTATATATCTATTTGCTGAAATGGGCTTTTGATCCTTAACAGTGTGTGATGGCTAGTGTGTTATACATATGGACTGTATGGCCTGTATCTGTTGAGGGAATAAATCCAATATCACCAAATATTTATACCCAACAGTTTACGTTATATGAATACCAGTAACTCATTGTCAGATACTTGATACTATTCACTGAAGATAATAGTCTAGTAAATATCTCAAATTAAATATCCCTAGTGAAATGGTTACTATATCTCAAGATTACTGAACAAGTCTGTTTACATCAAGGAGTTACTTCCCCTTATCCCAAACATCATATCAATGTACAAATGTATGTCTGTGTTTCTTACCACCTGTTGTCACTTTAAGGAGAGGACTTAGATAGGCTATGCCTGATGTCTGATCCTATTGACTATTGCTTATATTGTCAATAAAATTTGTTGAAATTGAAATTGAAGGTTTTACCTCTATTTCCCCTATTTGGCCCCACCCCTCAAGCCCCTGGGGGCCCAGACGCACGGTTTATACAAAATTGATTCCCCTTCACCCAATGATGCTTCAGACCAAATATGGAACAAATNGGGGGATCAGACCCACCATTTATACAGAATTTGTTCCCCTACTACTAAGGATGCTTTTGACTAAATTTGGTCATGACTAGTAGCGATTTTTTGGAAAAGTAGACGGACGGACGGACGGACGGACGCCGGACGCTGCTGTATGACATTAGCTCACCATGGTCCTTCGGAACAGGTGAGATAAACTTTTCTCTATTTCCCCTATTGGGCCACGCCCCTCTGCCCCCAGAGAGGCCACACCCTCCGTATATACAAACTTGAGGCTCCATTGTCAAAATATGCTCTAGAACAAATTTGGTCAAAATCCTTTTATTGGTTGAGAAGAAGAAGATTTTTAAAGATTTACCTATTTTTCCCCTATTAGGCCCCGCCCCTCTGTCACCAGGGGGACCATACCCTCCGTTTATACAAAACTGAGAATCCTTTGGCCAATGATGCTCCAGACCAAATTTGGTCAAAATCCTCTGAGCCGTTAAGGACTAGTAGCATTTTAAAGGAAAAAAATGACGGACGCTGCACCATGGCATAAGCTCATTTGGCCCTTTCAATTCATAACCTTTTTACCTGGCCTATCAAGATTCTAGAATATACATTATAATGTGCAAGCATGTATATCATTTTTGGTTTCCCGTTTGAAGATTTGTGCAGTGATGTTAAAATGATATTTGTTTTTTCACTCAAATCAACTCAGTGTAATGATATTAAGACATTGAATATCTTCACTTAAGATGTTGATATTAAACTTAGAACTATGTTGTCTTTTAGACCGATTTGCACAGATGTTAAGTCAAGATAAGCCTGTGTTTTTATTTTTGTTTTTTAACTGCTCGAGTATATACGAGCATAATGATGCACTTGGTGTATGAGTATAGATGTAGATGTTTTTATTTGTGGATTATGTTATTGTGTATACTAGTGCTTTGTTTATTTATTATTGTTTCTAACATTACGTTGTATATGGAGTCTGTTAGGGTGTGAAATTAGTCTGTTATGTTTTATTGTCCTTTATCACATACCTGTTGAATCTTGTTATAGTAATACAAGCAATTTTCAGACCATGAAATACAACGTTCTGTATTGCACATGTGCAATACGGAATGTTGTATTTACCTACTAGCCGGAACTACTTTTTATGGGAGTCCCCTTGTCATGGCGAACTGAAAAGTTCTCGGTATTTGCAAAAAATATCAAAGTTTATAAAATCTTTGTATCGATCTCTACCGAATACGGAAGGGATGTGATAAAAGCAAGACCACACACTTGTGTTTTTCTAACGAATCAGAAAGCACTCATTTATTGCGCGGACGTAAATATTCGTCGGCGCAATAAACTCGTGCTTTCTGATTCGTTAGAAAAACCCAAGTGTGTGGTCTTGCATATGTATTCTCAATTATTACTCAATACAAAATGGGGAAAGAGAGTGAATGTTGAATAGAAACCCTCCTGTATAAGGACACCATATTGTTCAGGGGTCTGACCCCAGGGCTAACCAGCCCTGGTAGCTCCTAACAAAACAATTATATATATATAAATGTATATATCAAAAAAGTGTCATAAGTAATAAAACAGTATGATACAATAATGGCACTGGATCCGAAAAAACATATGTTGGTTGGATGTGTATTGCTTAAATATATATAGGGACAACGAGGATTTGTCAAATTTTCAGGTCGATCTGCCCCTTTATCAAGACAGGAACATGAATATATATATATCATAACATGTACCAGAGATAAACAGTCAACATAAAACAATAATACATTTTACAATAAAAAGTACATAAATAATCAAAACGTATTTAAAATGTATAAATATTTATATATATTAGATAATAAATAGGCAAGTCCTTGTGAAGGAAAATAAAGAATAGAATAATAAATATGTGAGATCTACCGCTAGGCTTTTTAGCCTTCTAAGACTTCTTCTCAAACTGACATATATATGTGACAAAGGTGGCCGGTGAAATAGAATATTATAAAAAACAAACAAAACAAACAATTTGGTGAATATAGGCAAATAAATAGATAAATTAAATATAAACAAAACAATAATGTTGTAGGACTTACGTTCCAACTGTGAAAATACACCGGATCTAAGATGATATGATCAAAATTCGTGATATTTTAACATAATCACATGTAGGTTATCCAGGAAAAACACAAAACGCGCTGCGAGACATACACGTCAACATCCTTCGAAACACTTTGTTGGAGTGGCTTGCCCAGCGTTGTTTCATTTCTTTTTCCTCATTAGATGTCGTCTTTAGTTTATGAATATTCATGAACATATATCAAGCGCAATGCGCAAGTTTATTATAGTTTCATGTTATGAATGTATAGCTATTATAGGTGTGTTTAAGTGGCTCACTATTTTAGTCCGTATATATACAGCAAGTGGCAACATGATGATATATTTATATCTCCACTGCAATGACACTTTATCAACCAATCGAAATGAGTAGTAATACCTATTTGACATAAAAGTTAAACGAAAAATACGGAATTCACGGCTTTCGTTTGCAATTTTCGGACGAAAAGATAACTAACTATCATGAAACCATGCAATGCTATTCATGAATGGTTTCTTATCGATTGCTTGTTAAAATTAATCCAAGGTTCTTATAAACCGCTTTATCACAACCAAGTTCGTACACGTAGGTCGTCTTAAAGCGGTTCACAAATTATCATCCGTCGTTATAGGGCCTTTGCAACCAGCCAATATCTTTCTCAAATCAATGGGGAGCATGCAGCCGGTGCTGCCATTTCGGCGCTCACAACTACTATTTAACAATTCCAGCACTGCCCAACCACGTACTCATTTACAGCTGAGTAGACTAGAACAAACGGAGTAAAGTATCTTGTTCAAAGATACAACACAGTGCCGTGCCGTGATCGTTCTCTTCTCCCTGAGGAGCATACAGCCAGCCGTTGCTACCATATCTGCGGGGTTTTTCCAGGTACTCCGGTTTTCTCCCACATCAAGACCAAATGCATGCTAACATCCCGGCCAACAGGAGTGATGTATATAAGTTACATAACTTGTTTCATAATTGTGGTTAACTGAATAAAGTTCCAACTATAATATTACGCATATATTTGGACATACTACTGTATGTTAACATGATTAAGATATACTACATATTGTAGTAAAATGAAACGCAATCTAATACCCACCAGCTCCCATTGTAATAAAAAAACGAGCAGAAAGTTAAGATGTTTCTGATGCCCCTTCTCAATATTTCTTATTGGCTCAAATAATTGAAAATTCAACGGTAACACGTACAACGTTTGGTGATAGTGTTTGGATGGAAATGAGAACTGATAAAACATATATCTGAAGATGAGTAAGGCAAGGGCTTTCGGCGTTGTTTTTTAACCATGGTCATTATAACAGGATGAAGTATTTAACATTTTCGTCTATTTTCACCTAAATTATTATTATGTCTAGAACTATTTTATTTTTTTATTTGCACTGCACTTTGCTATTCCTATAAATTTTGTCTAAAATGTTGCTTACCAATTAAAGTTATCGACAATTAATTGGTTCTCAACTTACAATTACCCATTTCCAAATTTTCTCAATCACTAACTTAGTTATACTTAGTTTGGTTTAGTCTGGGTCCCTGCTGCGATTACTCCGACGAGTCTGCGCTATTTTTAGTCAGGTGAACGCCACCTCCATGTTGTTGCGCAATACAAATCCAATATGGCGGATACTAGTAGGCATGCTTTCGGGGGATGGTAGGTTCGATTGAAAGGGCCGGTTTCCAAAACGGCCCCTTCTCTGATTCAAATTTCCTGTTGGTGGTGCATTGCCCATGCCGTTGTGGTCACAAATCTATAAAGTATAAAGATTTAGGTCACTTGGTTTGTTTTTTATGGCTCCTCAAAGTTGTACCTTTCAGAAGCTGTCTAAGTGTTGATAAAATGTGCATGTTATGTAAAATATTAATGAAAATCTAATCAAATGATGGTCACCGTAAAGAATACATTCATGGCATGATTGTGACAAAAAATCATGTTTCCATCGCGCCATTTGGCTGTTTTATGGAAGAAACAATCTCAAAAATGCCATTTTCGATGATAACATTTTAGACACAAAAACTGTGTTTTTTAGAGAATACACCCTTTTATGGGCGTTGGATGCAAACCAATTTTTATCCTATTAAACAGTACGTAATATGCTATTGATGAGAGGAAAAATCATCAAAATGTAAGTGGTGGAACATTTTCAAATGTTGGGTTGAATTAGCCTATGGTTGAATTGCCGATTTTCGACTTTCTTTAGATAATTAACAAAAAAACGAGAGTATTTGCTCGGTATGTTGAGAATATGTACACAGATATGAAAAAAAGTGAGAGAAACACTTTTTCATAAAAAAAATCCAAGATGGCTACTTCACAAGTCCCCGTGGTTGAAGACATTGGCTGACAAATAGACAGAACAACAAACAAAACGTGTTCCTTATGATTTTGGTTGGTTTTCGCATTTACGGGAGTGTTCATAGCTACGGGCGATTGTATAATACCTATATTTATAAGTTTGGTTAGTCACATGGTAACGGGGATCTTTCATATCGAGCCCCAAACATACTTTCGACATATGCACTCCGTTGCCGCATGGAAAACTATTTCAAGTTTTGTCGGAATTTCTTTACCTGTGGTTGTAATGGTCGAGGGTTTTCCAGCGTCCTGTAATACCCAAGGTAGTACAAGATACTGGAGATGTGCGCACACATTCCCATCGTTCTCTCTCCAACTGGGCACTGGCAGTAGTAGTCCTTTATTGGGGCCTCAACATCGGGTGAAACGGTGAACCGTATCCAAACGTTATATTTCGTTTGGCTTTTGTGTCGAGAATGTATTTGACATCGGAGAAGGTCTGGGGAGTGCTGGTAAAGCCACACCTCATAGTCTCCGTCATCACTTAAATGTTCGGCGATGTAACCAGGAGCCAGAGATATCTGATACGTTCCACACGTAATGGTTCTCAAGTAATCAAGATCGAGACGGGGAAACAGTACGGAAGATGCATCCATCTTGACAAACTCGGACCTTGCCCGTCTAGATAGATCCGGATCTGTCTTGACTCTCTGAGCTAAACCATTCGGTGTTGTCAAACGGTCCTTCATACGTTCAGCCATTAGCCTATCTTTGGCATCTCTCTCTGGAGATCTCTGGTAGATCGGTCCTCTAATACCATTCAGACAGGCTGTGACGGTTCGAAGCAAAGCCTCGATGACATTGATAAAGCTGTTAGACACCAATTGCGTTCGGAAGAACGTCCAGTGTTTCAGACGACCATGATAGGATTCCACAATCCACCTCGATTTGGTGATAGTTCTGTCAAGATTTGCTTGGACGTCAGAATGTTGACTTTGACCGGGTTTCAGGTATGACGGCATGCTAGCATTGAGGCCAGAGGCTTCGAGAACTGGTAGGACATCTCTAAAACCTCGGTCAACGACAACGTTGTCGTCTGGTTGTAGCCAAGTAACTAGCTTGTCCATGACTTTTTTTGTAATTGTAGCATCATTTTCGCTGCCAGTGAATGGTCCTACTGTGTCCAGAATGTAGCCATCTGGTAAGGCGATGCTCATGAATTTGAGATAGTTTCTCTTCTTCTGGCCACAGTAGGACATTCTCTGGAGCTTGTGGTCGGAGCTTTTCTGGATATAAATATAGGTGCCATCTAATATGGCAGTGGCTTTATCTCCAAAAAATGCTTCTGAAAAGACAGTATTGTGCCCGAGCAACTGTTCTCTTGTCAAGTGATCCGGACCTAGAAATTGTGGGACTATCGATGTGTCTAATGCCTGTACTATGGAGTGGAAAGTTTTGGACACACTTGACTTGGAAATTCCAAAAAGAGAAGAACACTGACTCCAGGAAATGTCGGTTTTCAGTTTTACCCAGAACAGTAATAGAGCATCGTGTGTAGTCTTGGTATATATACCAGATGAAAGATATGGGGAACAGTGCGAGTGGATTTCGAGGAACTGATCTTTGGACCAACCTGTCCAGGCCATGCATGCCGAGTCATCAAGAGAAGAAAAGCTTATTGTAAACGCAGACTGGTTCTGTGAAAGGACGTGCGACACCTCTAGGAGGTCATTAATGATTTCGGACGATTTTGATGGTAACTGAGATTCCAAGGAACCTCTACCATCAAGGACAACCTCTGTAGACGGATCTAAGTCGTTACCAATAAGGTGAATGGAGCAGACGCGGGATGAGGTGGGACACCACAGTTTGTGTGAATAGATCAGGTGATGTCTTGCACGTTTTGGTAAGACTGATGATTTTGTTCCATTTCTTGCAAAGGTAACAAGACAGAGACAGCATTTTTTGTGTGAAGATGATCCATTCAAAAGATCATGAAGGGTCAGCAACGGCAGGATATGGGACGGGGAGTCGTCTTCTTCCTCTATTTCCTGGTTCTGCTCGGGTTCAGGTTCAGGCTGATTTTTGTTCCGAAGATACTTCATGTAGCACTTCTGGCAAATAAGTGCTTGTTCCTTTGCTGACATCAATCCTTGTTGCACCAGCGTATCTAGGAGCCATTTATATTGTGGACTATTTACATTGCGTGCACTTCTGTTCTTATTGCCACTACGTTTCTTGAAGTATACTTGACACCCTTCTCCAACACATTTACCCTCCATCTTGAAACAATAACGATTGGTTTATGAAGCGTCGATAAAGTAACAAAATAGCAAGCCACCGATGATTGCTGTAAACAGCTAATACTTAGTAGTTTGGTACAATTATGCGAAAATGTGTGATAAATAACGAACAACTAATTACACAAAATAACAAGACAATATAATAAATCACATTCAATACCTCCAAGAAGCGCAGAATTGATTGATTACTTAGAACAAAATAAAGTATTTCATATGGATAATCTATCTATTCGATGTGGCGTGGTCGGCAGGCACAAAGAAAGTGAGACAAGTCAGGGTCCCAACCCTGACAGAGCCACAACGCTTTGGAGATGGGACAATAAAACAAGGAAAGTGAGACAAGAATAGCTAGCGTCGAGTCAATGATTCCGTAAACGTATAGACAAAGACAAGAAGATACGGATAAATGTACAAGGCCACACGATCAGAAAATTCAGAAGAGGACAACTTGAGATAGAACAGTATTCATGTATCAGGGTGTCCTCAGTGTAAATCTTTATATCGATACTGTT